GCTCGTCTCTCGCGATTGTCGTCCATGGTGTAGTTTCGTTCGAGCATGGCCATTGACATGACTTTCATACCGTGATCTGAGAATATCGGCAGATGCAAATACAGCTGATCCGAATATAGATATGAATAAAGCTGATTAATTTTTCCAGTGCCTTCCCGAAAGTGTAGGTGGATCGTCCTCGGGGACTGGTGTATTCTCGTGGCGTCCATACTACAAGCTCATTTCGTCCATGCTAACCCACACTTTGAAAATCAAAGTGGACTACGTGGACTGATTTTTGATCCATCACATTACGCCATCGTAGGAGTTGAAGAAACGTAGTAGAACTTAAGACTCCAGTAGGCTTTCCAAAGAGCGTTTACTTGCAGATTTTGAATCAGGGTTCCCTGTGGTTCATACCAGTAAGATCTTAGTCACTCAGGCTTGTTGAGGTCACAATTTGATTTTCCTTGCATTGAAGTGGACTGAATTGCTATTTGGCTCTTACGTTAACAGTTACTATATTAATCTCATTCTTCCAGATGCGTTATGTTATTGATGAGAAAAATCTACATATTCAGAAAATTTCCAATCTAACAAGCGGTAAGCGGCCTATCAACCGACTTGCTGCATGAACAAATAAATAATCCATTGAACTTCTTTAGCAATTCTTTTCCACAGCTTTGCGAAAGAAGCATTAGGACGAACGATGAGAGGTTATCACCACGTGCAGGCCATTCCTTCCTATGGGTGGGGTGCAGGTTGAAATCATATTTGCTAGCCGCCTTTCCTGCAAGATGATAGCGATCTCCAGGCTCTATCAAGCTTGTTTTTAACTGAATTTTTGAGAAAATGTCAAAATATTCTCAGACTAAGTGACTTTGTTGAGCTACAGTACTTAGAACACTCTCTAGCACACTAGATTTGATGCCTGTGATCTCATTTGACACAAGATCTTGAGTCAATAAAAGAATTACTAGAAAATTATAGAATGTCAATACAAAAACTTTCTCATGAAAGAAACGTGGTGACTCTTATTACAACAAGATAATGAGCAGTTAACTCGGCACTGTTGAGTCTAAGTTATGTTTTTACAACGGTCATTTAATATACTAGAAAGCCGCTCAAAGAAGATGAATTACCGAACTGCAGGTAAACCGAAAAAAGTGTCAAAAATCTCATTGATTACACAGAAACGGCTAGTGAAATCTCACAATGAGAAACTTTGGAAAAATTTGACTTTGATTCATTCAATGCCGTGCTTCCTGCAAAAGCGCCATGCTCTCTCATATGAAGTTTCTTTGCCAACATTCGCTGTTTAGTTCACTATTAAACGGCTTTTATTCGTTACATATCGGAAATGTTTGAGAGGGGTGACTGTACTTCAAATCTTACTTTAGAATCTGGTCGACTATTGCAGCAGTTACTGTGAATCTGTTAGCAACACAGCCCCTTTTTTCTTGAATCCCCGTCCTGTTGCACTCATAAAGCTAAGAGGATAAGGTTAAAGCTCTCGGAGTTAATCAATCGCTGAGGGGTGCGTCATGTATTTGTCTTCAATTTTTCAACTTCGTTTGGGATGATTGAATGCAATATCTGGCCTTTACAATGACTTGCCGTGGGCTTTCGCTGTATCGAGTCAGTGCTGCTTATCCTCCCAGAGACAATCTGAAACCTGTCTGGTAGCAATTTTTCTGACCACCGGGGAATGGATGGCTTGGCGAGCCTTGAGCGCAAGATAGAAAAACTTTGACCTGGTGTACGATGCAGGGCACCTCTAACCACTGCACCACGTACGCTCTACTTGTAAAATACGTGTGAATATTTGAGATGCTTAGAAAAATCGTAAGGTACGCTCCAACTGAACTTGCGTGTTTCTTCTCCCTATTTAACATTATCTAACCTTATAAAAGTGTGTGCCTTTGTTGACATTAATATTAGTCCGTTTAACAAGTTTTGGGCACAAGAGCATTAAACAACCAAATTTATTAACCAGAAGTGATTAGAATGATATGATTTCAAATTCGCTCAAATGAGAATTTTCTAAAAAAAAAAAGAATGATTTAAGCTTAAACGGGGTTGATACGCCAGGGTCATACACCGGTGTTTCGGAGGTTCGTCCTCCTCGTCAGTGACCCCCGCCCCACATTGCTTCAATGCAGGGCTGAATGTGGGGCGGGGGTCACTGACGAGGAGGACGAACCTCCGAAACACCGCTGTATGGGGGTTGGCGTATCAACCCCGTTTAAGCTTAAATCATTCTTTTTTTGGAATTATATTGAATGTTTTTTTTTCGGGGTTTCAAAAACAGTCGATCTTTCTTTTGAGAATTTTCTTCTGAACATTTTGGAATACAACTTACCTAAACATGCTTTTAGATGGCGGCTGTCTTGGTAAATTCGCTTAGGTACTCATGCACGAATGGGACGAAGGGGAGCATGCTATTGAAAAGGCGTGCAAGATCAATGGAGCTCTCTGCGGATGACCCGAGCATGACTGATCCTCCAGACTGCTCTCTTCAGCTTCGCACTTAGCAAACCACTTCTTAGCTGTCCTTTCTGCAGCCGTATCATCTCTTTAAGCTCCATTAATTTCGCGCACCGCTTCATTAGCATTCATTTCCTGCTACGCGCCATCCGAGCATGAGTAGCAAGTAAATTTGTTATCAATACAGCGACATCTCACAGCAACTATAAGCAAGTTTATGCCAAAATACCGTTAAGAAAATGCGTATTTGAATAATAACGATATGATGCTCTTCTAATAAGTTCTGGTCAATGAATATGGTGTTTATTTCTCTATTATCAGAACTTGTGACATGACTTAAAATCAATAGTATTCATACTTTCTCAATTTGGTTGCCACTACTCATAGATACTAGACTCCGTGTTGTCTACATATATAGAAAGTTGTGAATCTATCATATGTCGCGAATAAGTGCATATGAAATCCAATCCCTCGTGCTGCTCTGCGAGGCACATTTTCATCAGTTCAATTTCGTGCCTACGACTATTCCACGCCTTCTATCACTCCAAAGTCAGTAAATCAATAAAACAGTCACATGGAGAAATAACAACGCTGTTTCGATGCATTGATGGGCTATCTAGCTCTTATTTCACAAAGCGATTTCAGCTAAGCATTTTATTTTAAATTTGATATCATTAGGAGATTCATTGTTTGAACACTCTCTGTTCCACTGAAGGTTAACCAGCAATTTCATGAAAACGCATAACCACGGCACTTTTAGAACTGTCTGCATCGATGAGTGAAAGGTGTAGTTGTGCAGTACTAGACATAATGACGGTGGTCTATCTACATATTCACATTCAACTGTATGAAAGTGATTGCTGGAACACATAGCTATAGCTGCTAATTGACATTGCAATCTTTATACGACTACATTACCATAATTTTACCCTGGGGCACCGTGGCCGAGTATTTGTGATGTTGGCCAGGGCGCACGTGAATAGAGCTCCATCCCCACTTCTCTCCGGCAGTCTACAAGAACGCTTCATGGAACGCCACAGCAAGGCTATCCTCGAGATTGCAAGGAGACTCGCTCAACTAGTATTCTACGCCGTTCAAGAAGAAGACGAAAAACGAGTTGAAAGCTAGAAGCATTGAGAAACGCGCAGTGAAAAAAATGCTGTGCTGATGGATCAGATAAGGTGTTGAAGTGATAATTTTACACTGCACGAGGAATTGCTATGTCAGCAGATTTTCTTTGCAACGCTGACCGATTTTTCATTGTGATATCGCAAACCAGAGGAGGTGATGGTGAGTCTCAAAAGTGCAAGTGCTTATGATGAATTTGTCGTCATATAGTTATAGACACTTTGACACTTTATTGATCCGCCTTCACAGTGTTTTTTCACTGTGCGAATCCCAATACATCTATCATTAAGTCCGTTCAACCGTCTCCTTGAATGTCTTAGAATACAGGTTGAGTGAGTCTCCTTGCAATCCCAAGGATAGCCTGGCTGTAGCGTTCCATAAGGCGTTGTTGTTGACTGCTGGAGAGAGTTGTGGGGTGAGAACTCGGCTCCACGTGTGCCACGACGAGCATCACAACAATTCTTTCACGGCGCCTCATTGTCATATAAATTATAAATATAGAAGAAAATCTTGTGGGAGCGTAGATTTTTGCGTAAGAAGCAAATGGGACCTGAATAACCTATTCCGAAAACTAGTAGAGCACATACTTCTAAGAGAATTAAGTGGTAAGCAGAAATTGAACCTCAGACGGAAGTTGAACTCCCGTTTCATCCATGCTCTCATTTCATCTCAGTTCTCTCAGGTGTATTTCAATATCATATACTGCGAAAAAAGCAATGAAACATACGAAATCTTGGAATTATATAATAGCCGTGGCTGTCAGCTTAACTGGGTTTATATAGCGATATTATTGACTAAACCTGTTAATGGTTAGTAGCTATGACAGAGAAATAGTGAAGGATGAGTTATGAAAGCGATGGCCTCGGTCTAAGATCTGATTTTTGCCAACCACTCACTTTTCTTAGGTGTGTTTCAAACATCATAACACTGCGAAAAAACAGTGAAAACATATGAGATTTTGGAGTTATATAAGTAGAGCACATATTTGAGAAAGCCAGTGGAATGATGCGGTCCGTCCTTTCAAAAAGCTCACTCCACTTATCGAGAGAGAATAGATGTTCTATTCCAAACCAGTTAATTTTTTGGCTGACGGTTGAGTGACCAAGTTTTTTAACCTGATAAAGAGTTCTTACTCCTTGAAATGTTCAGCCTTATAATCACCCAAAGCGACAAAAGAGTAGCGGAAGTCTGATATATTTGAAAGATTTATGGAACAGTGGTAAAGCAACAATTATGAAAAACAAAAGTTTACTATGAAAATTCTAGTAATTCTACTGCTTTTTCGCAGTGTTATGATGTTTCAACTGGGTTTATAGAGCGAAATCGTGTACCCGACCAAACCTGTTAAAGGTTAGTGACTGATAGCTTGCATAGAGATGTTGAAGAATGAGTGGTGGGGCAAATGGGCCTCTGTGGTGTAGTGGTATCAGCACGCGCCCCTGGATGCGGTGAAACGGGGGTTCGATTCTCGCCTGAGGCCATGTTTTTGCTCTTCAGTCAATTCTCCTAGGTTGTGAAATAGTTTACTATTTATATCAAATGATAATTCAAGAGTCAAGATAGCTTTTCCTCGTTTCAATGAATTATTTTATGCTTATTTGAGCCTTATTTGAATAAGGATCTGCCAACAGTCTACTTTTTCCAAAGCAATCGCTTTTCTGAAAAAGTGTTGGCACTAGACGTGTAAATTCAAAAAATTCCGCTTTCGCAAAGATTGCCTACATCTTCACAAATAGTAGATGAGGCCTTGTTGGTATCAATGTACTTTCATCATACTGTTATAAGCCCGAAAATCGTCTCCGAACAAGGTTTCAACTGAGACTCGAAGTTCATCAAAAAAGATTAAGTGGTATACAAAAATTGACTTCACGGGAAGTTGAACCCTTATTTCACCTTTACTAGAGACGTGCTTACTGTGCCACCAAGGTCACGGCTTTGCAATTACTCTTTCTCCGATACAAGCTATCGAAGCTGACAGCACCATTCTTCTAGGGTTTAGTCGGTAAGCACAAATCGGCATCAAACCTAGACCAATTGACAACTTTTTATGTATGCATAACTTGAATTCCTTTATTGAATACTTTCCAACATTGGTATGATGTTGAAATTGTCATCTAGAAAGACTTAGTGATACTGAAGAAGTAGAACTCAGACGGAGTTGAACCCGTGTTTCACGCTTATCGGGTGGTTCACCGGGTGACACCTACCAAGGCCACCGCTTTGCAATCACTCTTCCATCGCCACCCGTAAAGGTGGAGCGTGTATTCAAAGGTTTATTCTTGTGTACTACTCAACTTTCTTAGATGACCACTTCAACGTCATTCCACTGCTGGAAAGCAGTCAAACTAGAGAAATATAGGTTATAAGGTTCTTTACGGTTATAAAGGGGCAAATGAAAAATCAATCTCATCCGCTGGAAAGAAAGTATCAATAGCAGTTTTAGCAACCATTCGAAAGCTGAGACTTCAGGAAACAGCCCCATGTCGCCGGTTTTCGAAAAAGACTTTTTTGACGTTGCTGCAGAACGAGATTCCTTGCATTGCAGACTCGCATATTTTTTGCCGGACGGAATTCTTTCCTCGGACTACCAGTAATCATTCGAAAGCGCAATTGTTTCTGATTTCAGCGCTGTAATTACATCCTTAGAAGACCGTTTCTCTGCAACGCAGCAGGTAAAATAAGGTGAATTCGCATGTGTGAGCAGGGAGTCTTTGGCTGATTCACGTGCCCCGAGTGAGGAGCCCACGTTCGATGACGCCATCATCATCGATTTTTTGGGCATATGAACGCGATCGCTTCAGCAGTTCACGTGGCCGCCTCACGCACAGGCACCTGAATTGGCCAAAGACCCCCTACTCACACATGCGGATCCAACTCATTCTACCTGCTACGATGCAGAGAAACGGTCTTCTCATGATATGTACAGCGTTTGAATCAGAAACAACTACGCTATCGAATGATCACCAGTAGTCAAATGAAGGAGCACTGTTCGGCGAGAAACATGCGCGTCTGCAGCGCAAGTAATCTCATTCTGTAGCAACATCAGAAAAAGGCTTCTTCAGAAACCGGCGAGGTGAAACTGTAGCCTGACGCCTCAGCTTTCGAGAGGTTGGAGTGGTTGCTAGCACTCCAATGAAAAGTTCCTGTCCAGCAAGTGAAATCGGTTTTTCATTCGCTTTGCTCATAATCGTATAGTACCTGTTATACTTGAGTGGTGAGTTTTTTTTCTGTTGAGGTCATAAAAAGTATTTGATTAAGTATATTGTGCATCATCTTAACTATTTGGACTTTGAAAAAGGCAAGACCGTCGATATATCAGTCATTGCTGAATAATTCCTGTTATAAAAGGCCCTGCATCTTTTTTGAAAGAGAAACATCAAGAGGAGCATTGTCGTCTATGTTTAGATTAGATAATACTCGAGATGCCTTTGCCAATTTTCAAAATTTGAGCAACAACAAAATCCAGTATGGAAAAACTAAGTCGTTCAAATATTCTGTGCGCGGTCTCTTGAGCCATGAACGAAAGATTGATGGTACACTGATTGGCCATATCGAATTTGAACGATAGTTGGCATGTTCACAATTTAGATATATTTTTTGAATTTTGAAAATCTGGACCTAAAATGAAAGTTAGGACGAAAACAATGTTGGAGCAAATTTCTCTACAGTGATAAATTACGATTATCGTACACAATGAATAGATATAAAAATACGAGTAATTTTATATACAGAAAACACACCAATCAATCCAACCAGAATTGTGAGTTGCTGGTGGATAAGTTCTTTCCACCACAAAAAAATGAGCACAATGTCCATAAAGCAAGCTACAATGCAGCTGATACCTTTTTTGAAACGCGTAAGAGAAAAGCAGAAGAATTTAGCGAAGAAAATGAAAGCCATCTTCTAGAACCAAAATTGCAAAAACAGGGGGTTGTTGGCCAAGGGAGTAGGTGGTCAGATCGGTTGTCATGAGCTAGTATCATTTCATGATATCCGTAGAGAAAAATCAGGTGCTAAATGGAGGTGCTGATCGTACAAGTGCTACGCTTAAGTCTTTATCTTCTAAGACGGTGCTCGCAAATGTGCTCAACACAGTAAGTATTCTATTAGAAATTGATAGTATTTTTTATGCATTTCGCACTGTTATGATGTTTTATATATTCCTAAGAGAATTGAGTGGTGAGCAAAAACACGACCTCAGGCGGGAATCGAACCCACGTTTCATTCTATCCGGGAACGCGTGCCCTGTCCCTACACACCGTTCTACCGTGCTCGTGTTCTATTAGATTTAGAATACTTCCCAGTATTGAAACGGCCACTTAAACAGTATGAAATGACTCATGAAGTGCAGCTAAATAAAGATCCTAGTTTTTTATTCCCTGCGAAAGTCCGCTTTATTGCGAAATGACTTCCTCAAAAGACCATAGTAGCCTAGTAGCCTTCATGTGGTATTCATGACGAACCACGATCTTTGCGCTTGCATAAAACGGGTCATCCAATGCGCTAATTGAAATTGAACCTCGATCTTTGTGTTCGTTGAATCGAATATTCTCAATGTGGCAAAATGTGTAAGACTGCATGGCTCAAACAACTTTCATCTGCTTTCAGTCAACTCTGGCGATGGAATAGCGCCTCAAAACCTCTATGATGGATATTATTTATGTGAAATTTCAAACAAGTATAAAACAGCCTACAAGTGTTTAACATAAACCAATCAATATATACATGTGCCCGTCGTTACATCAACTATATAGATTCTAGCACTTTTTGCATTCGATTCGTTTCTTTCTTCCATTCTCTACAAAGTTCTTCGAATAACTAGAAGTACTGAGTGGTATGCAAAACATTGGGCTCTAGAAAGGAGTAGAACACGCGTTTCACTCATGTGTCTTAGAACATTTAGCATGTTGTTCTGACTGCTGCTCGAGACTTTCGCCTGCACTTTGAATGTTGTACGATGCTGGTTGAGTCGATTCTTCTAGCAATCCTGAAGTAAGGTGCGCTAAAAAGTCCCCATGTGAATTAAAGGAGAGTGTTAATGGATATGCAAGTATCATAAAGGTTAAGTGCAAAAAGTATGTTTGTGTTTCAAAGGCAGCATATGAAAAATTATCTTAAGTGTTTTTTGAACGCCTTACTCTAAAACTATAGTGTATCGGTTCCGCTTCCGGTTCAATTCCAAATATGCAAAAAGATCCAATCAGGCGAGTAAAATTAATTAATTCATTAAATTTTCACTTTGTGTTTATCCAGCCCCTTGAAGTGTTAGGCTTACATCAATGATAAATTGATAACGACCTCTTATAGTATGTCCTCAAATTCATCCTTAGAATATTTCTCCTTACTAAAAAGGCTTTCAATGTGCTTGATCTACTACAGATTAACTACGGAGTGCCATTTGAGGCGCTGTGACTAATAGGGACCTAAATGCAGTTCATTCCACTCACCACAAAAAGCACCAAATCAAAACCTGTGTACATCAATCTTTGAAATATTGGACGCCATGACAGCGATGCGAATCTGTCTATCCGTGGCCAAGTGCGCCCCATGTGGGACCCGTACTTTCTAAAAACTGATAATTTTTGAAAAGTGTGCATTTTTAGTTCTTAAATTACTACTTACATTGATATCCCTTGTGTCACCTGTTGTCCCGTTGATTGTCGAGTGACTCGATAGAGCACCAGCAACACCTCTTTTTGTCCCTATCGCGTGCATGAGTAGCCCAGTGGGTCCTTCTCGCTCTAAAGATTCGCTGAGCACCATATCTTTCTTCTAAGCTTTTCGTCAAGAGATCGGACCAGCGGGTCGGTGGTCTTCCTATGGAGCGCTTGACATCCCGAGGAATTAAGTCGGTAACGGTTCTCGTCTATCGGTTGTCGTTGAAGCGCATCCGGCCCACCTTATTTTCGATAGCCTACATCAAAATACTAATCAGTATTACTTGAAAATATACAATACTTTTTCAGGTAACTTCGAATTTCGAAAATTAACATAAGACAAAATTGGCCGTTAGAAACAAATATCATATAGTGCAATACAAAACACAATTTCCCGCGGTCACGTCTAAACAACGGCTGCAAAGCGCTTGGCCCCGTAATGGGTTAAAGTATACGACCTATGTTCGTGAAATCTTCAGTTTCGCAAAATATGTGTAAGGTGATTTGCTACGAGCTGTTATCGCAGTTCTTTTGGCTCATATATATATTGAAATGGCGTTTGCGCCTCCTTTGGAAGAATCCGCCTAACTATTCTCAATGTTCCTAAGAGAAAAACCGAGCCGACCAAACCTGACAAGGGTTGGTGGCTGATAGCTAACACAGAGATGTTAAAGAATGAGTGGTGGAGCAAATGTGCCTCGGTGGTGTAGTGTCACCGGATAGAATGAAACGTGGGTTCGATTCCCGCCTATGGCCGTGTTTTTGCTCTCCACTCAGTCTTCTTAGGAATATATGAATGATCATAACACTGTGAGAAATGCAG